AACCCCGCCCCCCAAAGAAGCCAGGTTCCTGAGAACTCTCAGGCATTGCCCTAAAAGGACAAGCAAGGGTGAACACTCCGACGTGAAACACCAGGCAGGCTGTTGGCCCAGATGGCATGTGGGTGGGGTGATGGGCAGCAGAGGAGGGAGAGGCCCAGGGGGAATGTGGGAGCCCCAGATCCAGGAGGTAGGAGAGGGTCACGAGTGTCAGGTCACAGAGTCACGAGCAAGGAGGACACGTCACCTGGCCAAGCTCCAGGCAGAACCTGCCCTGCAGGAAGCCCTCTGCTAGGAGTGAGCCTGTGACGTTGGTGACACAGGACAAACCGTCATGCTCCCCACCTCCCCAAACCAGTGGTGCCCAGCCGTGGTGTGACTGCCAAAGGAAACGGCATCCCCTGGCCAGGATGCCAGCCGAGGTCACACTTCCAGGGCACCTGGGCCAGTGGTGAGGAGGTCAGGGGCAAGGGCCAGCCCAGCCCTGCCTGGATGCAGAGGGGTGCTGGGACAGCCACCCTCAGCCCACTCACACCCAGGGCTCCACTCAAATGTCCCCTCCCCTGAACCCCTCCCTGACCACCAATCTACCGTTGACCATCTCCCCTGCCCCATCACTTTCCCCCTCAGCCTCCAGCTTTATGGCCTTTTGATGCAATGTGCTTGCTTACTGCCTATTCCAGCCACCTGGGTGTCCTGGGAGATGACAGTGTCATCTCGGCTCTGCCTTGGTAGTCCACGCCCCTATCCCAGTGCCCGTCTGTGTGCTGGGCAGGCAGCAAGTGTGCCACAGTCCTTGTGGATGAACGGAAGAAAGTCTTCCCCAAAGCACTCAGCCCAGTGAGATGCTTAATCATTCTGAATTCCTTGGAAATATGAAGAAGAAAAGCAGGCATTCCCTATATGAGGAGCCGTGCACGCGGTATGTGCTGCGAGTATATGCCTGCGTGTGAACCATGGGCATGTGCTGTGAATGTGTGTCTCAGTGTGCACTAGTGCGCAGAGTGTGTTCTATAGGCGTACACTATGGGTGTGTGCTGAGTGTGTACTACAGGCAAAACTTCACGCTCCACAGACATCAGTCTCTTGGATTCCCTTCTCAATCTAGATGCTGTTTTGAGGCTGCAGAAGCTACACTCTGGGGCTTTCCGTTCAAGCCCCTGCAGCTGTGTGCTAATGACGGGGAGAACAGAACCCAGCCAAGGGCACCCAGGCCAATCGGAGTGAGGGAGCCCGGGGAGGAAAGTGGGCTGGGAGCAGAGGCCCCAAACTCTAAGCACAGGCATCCCTACCTGCGCTCCCCTCAGGGGACCTTTCTGCTCAGGTCTTTCTCGGGCCGGGCCAGGGGCCCTCACTAGGCAACAGTCTTCTACTCAGATGGCTCCCAGCCAGGCCCCTGGCTTCCCGGGCCTTCCACCGAGGCCCCAGCGGTACTGCAGCCCATCGTGGCTCCTCCGGGGGAAGCTGGGTCCGGGGGAAGCTGGGTCCGCGTCTGCTGTGAATGGAGCTCTGATACGGGACAGGCCCTGGCAGGCATTGCATCAGGCTTCGTGCTCAGGGCCAAAAGCACAGCAGGGCTTAGCCTCAGCTGTTGCAGGCCCTGCTCACACAGCCTCCCCGCCAGGCAGGAGGAGGAGCCGCCTGGAGGAGAGGGGCTGAGGGAGGGCAGGGCTGGGAGGGAGGAGGCTGAGGGTGGGCATGGCAGCTGGGAAGCCCATGGTGGGAAAACTCGGAGGCAACCAGGGGCTGCAGTCCTGGGGGGCCGGGAGGCTGCCCCTCCAGGCCACGTTGTCAAGCACCGGGGAGGGGTGCTGGGAGGGCTCCTGTGAGCTGTCTCTCGATGCCCTGGGGAGTGGAGACAGAGGCAGGACAGGGAGCCAGACGCGGGCTTGCCCCTGTTGTGGACAATCTTTGCTTGGGGAATACGGAGGTCCATCCAGTGGCCTGTCGGGCTGGGTTCTGTTTCACACAGCGGCACCCAGAGATGGCTTGGGAGGGGCCAAGGCCCCTGATATATCGAACGTAGTGTCTGAGAGCTGAGTAAATGCCCAGAGGCTGTGGGATGACCATGAGTGAAGGAAGAAGAGAAGGGATGGAAGAACGAGGAGGTGAATGAATGCCTGGCTGTGCTCCCTGTGCAGCTCAGGGCTACCATTCCTCCCCAGGCCCCTCTCCCAGAATAAACCCAGCGATAACCTTCCATGGGCACTGTCCAACCTCAGCCAAGACAGAACAGAAGCAGCCAGAGGTGAAGGTATGTCTCACCTGAGTGGCAGTGGACATCCAAGACCTTGTGAGAAGCTGTGGGTCAGAGCCCCAGGTAGACCATGCGCCTAAGCTGGCCCTCCGCCTGTATTGCTGTGTGGGGACATGGGGGAGCACACGCTTTACCCCCATTTGACAAGGTCACTTCATCAGGGCCAGCTCAGCTGTGTGAGCAACAAATCCTGGGCAAACCCCAAAGCTGACAGCTGCACGAAATACAGGGCCCCAGAGAACGGTCCAGGGCCTCCCAGGCAGCGAAGGCGCTTCCCATGCTCTGACGCCGAACCCCAGGCCCTGGGCCAGTTTGGAACTGACCTGCTGCTCTGGGCTTCGCTGCATCTGGCTGATCAGGAGCTGCAGCGGACGCTGGAGGCCAAGACACCCATAAGCATGCAGCCGGGCAGCCTGGTGAGGAGTCTGCTGGCTCATTGGGAACTGACCTGGATATGGGCCAAGATTCATGGCCAAGGGTGCACCCAGCCCCAAACACTAACATGTCAGAAGCAACTTGGGTGTCCCACCAGACGGGGCTTGCTGACGAACTGCAGTGCATGGACACATGAGTGCAAGCCAAGCAGGGGTTAAGCATGCTGCACAGCCACAAAAGTGGAATAGAAAGGGATGCGTCTTTTCATTTTATGCACTTTCATATTGGGTGAATTTTCGATGACCATGCACATGTATCACTTTAATACGTTTTAAAATGTAATCTGAAACTTTAAAAGAGAACGGTAAAATCACTTCGGAAGTGGTGTGGACATGCACGGGGCAAGGGCAGGACTTGAGGCTGGGGACCAGTTTGTTCTTTCGACAATGGCCCAGGAGCGAGGTGGCATCCTGCGCAAGCGGAGGCAGAGGGTGACAAGGGAGGACAGACACGAGACTTTAAGGAAGCTGACCTATGACGTGCACAACGTGCATAAGCCTTGAGGACAGTGCCCTAGTGAAATAAGCAAGACACAAAGGACAAATACTGTATGA